CTGTGAGCATTGGCTGTGGGAACCTCGTATCCTCTTTTCCCAGCCTGCCGAACAGAATCTGCCACCCCTGAGGCCTCGGGGGCATCGTGGGCTCCGGGCCCAGCTCTGCTCCAGGGCTGGAAGAGGACAGGCCCTTGGTGCCCTTCTCGACCAGGCAGCTTCACAGGTCACCCCACGCTGTCACACGTGGCCGTGCACAAACCAGGACGTCTCAGACACAGCCCCCTCTGTTCAGGACTTATTTCAGCTGATGGAAACGCTCTGAGATGTGGGTTTGCCTGGAGAAATTGGGAGAGTGTGTATTTACTTGTATTATAAAATGTTCATTTTAAACATACATGCTCCAGACTGTTTAATATCCTTTTTTTTTTTCCCTGCAGCGACTGTCACAGCAAACAACTTCCACAACTGGAAAAAAAAAACCCTCAGCACTTGTTTTTATGGTTCAAATTTGCCAAATAAGTCTCCTCATTTGTCAGTGCTGTCCAATTATCTGTTTCTTTATATCTGCATTGAGTATCGTTTGTGCCAAAATATCAGAAGGGGGAGGGGAGAAGGCGATAACCAGTTTCCTATGGAAAACTTTGTCTTATTTTTATTTCCTTAGACAAGACAAACCCAGAAGGTAGATCTGGCTCTGGGAAGGACAGACGTGGATGGAGTTGGGATGGTTTAAGGCTGTGAACTCCTCCTCTCCCAGCTCTGGAGGGTTTCTGGGATGCCCATTCCGTTTTGTAGTCTTTGCAATGGGTCTGGTTTTGGTCAAACCTCTGCACGGACTTGTACAACAGGAGCAGCTCTGTCAGCGGGTAGTTTGTAGCCACTCAAGAGCAGGTCTGGCGGGTGTGGATTGGTTTGGCTCCTGCTGTCAGACACAGGTTTCCAGCATCGCTGTGAACAAACATTAATCCTGACTTTTGAGGCAGTTATTGGACTGGGTGTCTCAGTGAGAGAGGGGAAAGTCTCCTCCAGCACAGCCCCAGGTTTCCTCCCTCAGCAGCTTTAAGTCGTATTTGCTTATTGGTGAACAAACTCATCCCTGTCCACAGAACTGTGGGGGAAGTTGGACTCCCTGCTGCCTTGGGCCACAAAAATGTCATCTTGGATTCTGGTGTCAGGGAGTTGGTTACACGTGCCGGGCTGTGCAGGGACTGGCCCAGCCTGGGGGCTACTGGGGACTGCACAGAGAGATTCGGCCCCTCGGCCGAGCTGGGAACTGGATTTCTGCTGGGAACCAGGTTTCTCTCTTCTGCTTGATACAGGATAATTAATTGCTAGCCGTTATTAATAGATGCCTTTGGAAAAACAGGATTCAGAGGATGCATTAAGACTTGGGTTCGTCTCCCCTCATCATCCTTTCAGTGAAATGACTCCAAATGGAAACCGTGAGGTGTGAATGAAAGTAGCTTTGATGTGTAGCACCAAGGTATGGGGTCAGCCACGGCCTAGCTTAGCAGCCCCACCCCTCCTGGAGCATCTCCTCGTTTCATGGTAGCCTTGGCTGGTGGGGTTTTGTACGTTTTTCTTACTAGTAGAGAGTCACTAGCAGGAACTTTGACTCTTTTTAATTGGTGTAGCCGTACACAAGGGCCTGGCTGCTGGCAGATGATCCTGATGGCCTTGTGGTTTTAAATGACTGTGGTGATTTTTTTTTTTAATTATTATTATTATTAATGTATTGACCTGAATTGCAGTTTGTACTTTGTGTTAAGCTCATCTTAGAAGTCATCCAAGTGCTGTCTGTTTGACTGAAGCACCAGGAACCGGCACGTGTTTGTACAAAGGTGGAGAAACTGAACCCTAACAAATCTCCCCGAGGCTCTGGCTGTTCATACCCGCCATGGGAAAACTGGGGGGACCTCTGTGAGTCAACAAGCCAGTTTGCTCTCCCTGGGGGGCAGTAGGGGAGCCCTGCAGCGGGGTGGAGGGTGCTGAGGGCTCCATCCCGAGCACAGAGCTCAGGGAAGGACTCTGGCTGGATCCCACGTGGGGCTCTCCTGGTGCCCCGCGGCCCGGGGTGGGGGGCAGGGATGGAATTTCACAAATAAGCTGGTAAGCTAGACTGAGAAATAATTAGTCACTATATAGTAGCTGATTGAGAGGTATGGTTACGAAATGCAGTATATGTTTTTTTTTATTATGTACATGCTTTTTGTATTTATGTTGTCTTTTCTTGAATATTCAGATGAATCAAATATTTAATTTCCAACGGAAAGGGCAGTTAAGGACTCGGAGTATTGAACCTTTCCTACGTTCCTTTCTGGTGATTGCTAGAAATTGGGCAGTTCCTGGTGTGAGAGGAGAGACCTCAGAGCTGAGAAGGAACCCTGGGGAATAAAGCAGAGCAAGGACTTCTCCTCTGCCCCAGGCGCCCTGGACGGGCCCTTGAACTGTGTCTGCAGGTCTCTGGGGCTTTACAAAGCCAGTGACTGGGGACTCCAGGAACGTGTTGGTTGGTTCATCTTTGGTCTCCCCCAGCCCGGGGGTACGAGGAGCCCACCCCAGCCTCTGCTCTGGGCTGGGAGGGCCCCGCCCCAGCCCGGCCTGTCCCTGCCCCCGAGCTGCTGCAGCCTTCAGCCCCTCCCCACCCCAGACTGTGGGCGCCCCGGGGTGTCACCCGCCCGCTTGAGCTTGTCCAGCATTATTCACCTGTTTTGTTACTAAAGGCCTGTACTATGTATGCCCTCTTATTTCATACGTGAAACTGTAAGGTCTATGCTGGGAGGGCCCCGCCCCAGCCCGGCCTGTCCCTGCCCCAGAGCTGCTGCAGCCTTCAGCCCCTCCCCACCCCAGACTGTGGGCGCCCCGGGGTGTCACCCGCCCGCTTGAGCTTGTCCAGCATTATTCACCTGTTTTGTTACTAAAGGCCTGTACTATGTATGCCCTCTTATTTCATACGTGAAACTGTAAGGTCTATTTTTGACATTTTAATAAACTTTGATTTGAAAAAAAAAAATGAGGCTCGTGAGAAAATAACGAGAGTGTAAAACTGCATTTAAGGACACAAAGCAAAAGGATTTGGAGCTTTGAAACCACTGGAAACTGAGAGAGCAGCATCTTGAGGGGCATCTAACAAAGGTTGCTCCCAGTAACTGACGTGGGATCTCACTGGCAGGTAAGGCCTTCATCCGAACTGCAGTTTGGAGAGTTTTGTTCAAGAACCCCAGAACCCCAGCTGGTGCAAAGTGCCCTGCTGTTGGATCAGATCAGAGGAACGACAGGTGGAACAGACAACTGGAGGTCTCCAGTCCAACCTCATGCTTGGTCCAAGACTGCGGCCAACTCCACACCAGGTCAGCTGGGCTTCAGTCTAGATAAATCTTGAAGAAGAATCTGAAAGGACATTGACTCTACCCGCCCCCTCCCCAGACAAGCCTTTCCATGGCTGCACCATGGAAGAGTTTTCCCATCTTCATCTCCCAGGCTGCAGCTTTGGCTCCTGCCCCTCGAGTCTCTGCCCCCGCGAGGACTCGGCTCCTCCCTGCCCCTCGAGGGGGCAAATGCTGCAGCCAGAAATGAGCTGGACTGGTGGAGTCCTTCGCACCCACCCTGGCCAGCTGCAGAGAACTGGGTGGCACCAACGTGTCCCTGCTGCTGTTGTCAGCGCTGGGACTGTGCCCAGAGGTGACTGGGCCGTGAAATGTCCAGCGGAGCGGTGGTGGTGGTGGAAGGAAGGTGCCAAGTTCTTCAGGTGCCATTCTAGGGGGCACGCCCCGCAGCGAGGCGTGAACTCCTCACCTCCCCCTCGGCTTTCACTGACATTCAGAGGGGTTTTCTTTTTTTTTTTTGGCTGTTTTTCCTGCCCAAGGATTTACGGGAATACTTTTTCCACTCCGTTTTCCAACAATGTGGTAATAAAAGGGTCTTGTCCAGGTCTGGCTGCCAGAACTGGAGCGTGCTGTAAATCAGCCCCGAGCCGCGAGTCCTGCCGGCTGTCACCTGGAGAGATCAGGGATGTGGGGGTCACACTCTGCCCCTCTGTGCTGGAAATGAAAGCTGAAGCCAACAGAGCTTTGAGTTGGGTGGTTTGCTGAGGTTCCACCCCTGTCTCTGCACCTTCTTCTGGCTCCAGGTGCTTCAGGAACCTCCTGGGCACCAGGCTGGTGGCAGGGGAGGGAGGTGGAAGCAGCGACAGGAGCCCCACCAAGGCTGGGAACACCACAGCACCCACCTTACAATCCAGAGAAAACTTTTTTTTTTGCTATTATCTACCAGTTGTGGGGGTTTAGGACAAATCTACAAATGCAGAAAGCTCCCAGAGCTAATCCCTTTTTGTTTGAGATACACGTTGCTGTTATCATGTGCAATAACATTTTCCCCTTTCATTATTAACTGAGCACAACATTTCTGTAGCCTTTGGTCAGAGCTGGGAGTTCACCAGCACCCAGCAGCATGCCTGGAGCTCGTTTCATTTGGCACTCAACTGGCTGTATTTACAGTGAGCTAACAACCAGCTTGATCACCAGAAGGGCCACCAGCTGAGCTGGCTGCAGAAAAGGCAGGCCCTGGCCTCGGAAGGCTCACGGGCTGTTCTGGACAGGGGACAGGACTGCTGCTGGTGTTACAAAAAGCAGGGCAGTGAGGAGTGCCCCAGCCAGGAGAGCTCTGTGTGGAAGGATGGAGCAGCAAAACCTCCAAACCTGAGCACAGGAGGCACCCCGAGCCACGTCTGTGATGGATACAGACTCCAGGGATTTCAAACCAAGGTAGGAATTCTTTTGTTCTGCTAAACTGCACGAAGAGCAACCAAGGGAAAGATGCAACGACTTTCAGGTTTGCTGTTCCACTAATGCCCCTTTTATTGGTTTCATCTGTTTTGTCAAGAAATGCTGTAACCAAAACCAAAGCCTCTCTATATTAAAAAAAACAACAACCCAGGACACAAAACCCAAGTGGCCAGCGAGGTAAACGCTGATTTAAAACCACAATACTCTCAGGATCACTGAATTATTTCTGATTTTCTGCCTCTCCTGACAAATTGGGCTTTTTTAAAGCATCTACAAACAAGACACATTTACAACAAAAACCTGTTTGGAAGAGTTCTTGGTGTGTTACTAAAATCTGCACCAAGACACCCCCCGTGTGGGTGCTCTGCCCGCCTGGGGCAGGACTTGTGGATGTCTCCCCACCGGGATGGTGTCAGGCTGAGCTGCTCCCCCAGACCCCTCCTGATCAAACCATGGCTGCTCCTCCTGGCAGCGCCTCCTCAGTGCTGTCAGAGACTCCTCAGCACAGCAAGAGCTCTGATCTTTCCCACAGTGTGCTCCCTACCACAGAGGTCTCCTCCTTGGTGTAACAGGCTGCAGAACTTGAGGCCATTTCCTCCTGTCCTGTCCCTTGTTCCTTGGGGGAAGAGCCTGACCCCCCCCTGGCTCCAGGCTCCTGTCAGGAGCTGTGCAGAGCCAGAAGGTCTCCCCTGAGCCTCCTTTGCTCCAGGCTCAGCACCCCCAGCTCCCTCAGCTGCTCCTCCCCACACTTGGGCTCTAGACCCTTCCCCAGCAGCTCCGTTGCCCTTCTCTGGCCACACTCCAGCCCCTCAAGGTCCTTCTTGGATTCAAGGGCCCAAAACTGAACTGAGAATTTGAGGTGTGGCCTCCCCAGTGCCCAGTCCAGGGGGACAATTCCTGCCCTGGTCCTGCTGGCCACACTAGTGCTGACCCAGGCAGGATGCTGGTGGCCTCCTTGGCCAGCTGGGCACACTCTGCCTCATCTCCAGCTGGTTCAACACATCAGGTGAGTGTGGGGGCTTTTGAAATCACAGCTTTTCTCCTCTTTAGGACAGAATTCACCAGCAGAAGGTCTGTGCATTCTGCCAGGCCTTGGGGGCCAAGCACTGCAGGAGGTTTGGGCAGGAGACTTCACCCCTGGGACAGCAGCAGAACTCTGCCTTGCACTGATTCCCAAAGTCAGCTCCCAGTGGGAACCCAGGGAGTGTGGCACAACGCCTGGGATTCCACAGGACCACAGACTTAGACACACTAACCACACTTCAAGCCTGGGGGCCACTGTAGTAGCTTTGACACTTGCAGGACATCCACAGCAGGACAGAAGGCAGCAACTCTTAATTCATGGCTCATAGAAATCTGGTTTGTTTTCACTAGTGAAGTCAGCTATAACACAGCAAACAGGCCTCCATCTAAAATGCTGAGTGTAGAATTAAGTACTCACTTAACAACCACCAGCCATATGTAGAAAGGTAAGTGGTAGTAAATTTCTTTATTTAAACCCAAAAGAGGAGACAATAAAGATGGGAATTTGAAAAATGTAAACTGATTATTATTTCCTCTAACTGCACATGATGCCTCTGAGATTCTCAGAGAGAGAATGAACAGTCAGACAAACACCACTCCAGCCTCAGGTGTTGTGGAATGTGTGACTTACTAGGATGTGGAGAAGCCTTTAACCAAGGAAAGCAACTAGAGCTAAATGGGGCTTTTCCCAGGGAGCTCACCCTGTCAGGGCTGCTCCCTCACTCACAGCTATGGAGGATTCAGTTCTCTTCATCCGAGGAGAGACCTTCAATTTCGTCTCTGTCTCCTCCAATTGCCATCCAGAAGGCTTTGGCCACCTAAATAAAGATGGGAAAGGGAGAAAAATTCCCCTCAGATGACTGAAGGTTTTGTATTTACCATCTAAAAACCAGAATCCACACCCAGGTACAATGCTGGTCCTCTCCAAGTTAAGGAATTCCAACAGAAGCAACAATTTAGGATTCATGGCAGGCATAGGTGACATAAAACTTGTGCTGATGAAGGCACAGTTAATTATTCTGTGAGTCTGTGGCTCTCCTACTGACTTCAGTAGCAGCTGGCTGAAAGTAGGGCCTTCATTTCAGACATTTTGAAAGAGGAATGTTTTTTTCTGGTGTTTCAAACTTCCAGGTTTGTTACTTCTCCTCGGGAGACACCAGACAGTCCTCCCTAGGACACGACACAGGAGCTCCACACGAGAAGTAACCCTGGCTTGGAGAGGAAAAGCCCATTTCTGGTCATTTCAGTGCCAATTCCACAGCCTCACCTTCTCGGCGTGCAGCTTTCTCTGTTCATGAGGCAAGGTTGCAGCTTTATCTGTGGACAAGAACATGAGTTAGGTTGTCAGCCTCAGGAGGGAGCAGGGAGAGAAATGCCTGTGGCAGCTGCTCGTAGGGGGCTACCACGAAATTAGTTTAAGATGATAAAAAAGGAATCTTATTTAGCAGGAGCAATCACAGTTCCCACAGAGCAGGAAGCTGACGAGCACGCTGGGTTTCATCTCAACCTTTGGTAGCTCTGAACTGCAAGACTGGTGCATGGTTGGAGAGCTAAAAGAGAAAAAAACTCATTTCCCTTTTACCTTTCATTTCCTTCAGCTTTGAGAAGAGCCTTTCGAAGTTCTCCAGGTCACCATCTCTGGTGGTGAGGTTGGCCAGCTCCTGAATGTCCATATCCAACATGGGATCTGAAATAAAGGCCTGTAGGTTGGTTTAAGGTCAATCATTCTGGTGTGTCAGCAGGCCCAAAAGCCTTTCTGATCCAACCACCACAGGAGAGAAAGGAACATCTGAGCTACTGATTGTTCTACAGACACCATTACAGTGGTGGCACACGGGTGATGGCCACAACCAGGATCCTCCTGACTGGTTTTCACCCAGGGCCTGGCCAGCCTTGGGGGGGAGCCAATGAGGAGATCCCCACCAGGTGCCCCCACCTTCAGCATGAACATCAGGTGTCCTGCCTCCAAGTTAACAGCATAAAAGGTGGCTTGCTGGGAGCTTGTCTATGTAGTGGGTATACTACATAGGGTTTCCAGCTATTGGAGGGGCCCCCAAGTGCCCATTGTAGGGAGAGCTTTCAGTGGTGGTGGGACATCAATAGGGCCAGGAGCAGAGGAAGGAATAGATCTATATAGATCTATAATAATATAGTGGCATCATTCTGTGATCATGGCCATGCAATTGGAACTGGACTGGCCACCTCTGTGCTCAACTGATTGGCTCCTGTCTTCATCTTGCACCATGAGTGAGTCTATCAACCTCTTCATCCCTCCAGTGGTTGGCCACCTCAGATCCCTCATACTTGATTTAAAAGCAGAGGGAGGGATCTGGCTGCTGTGCTGTCTGGTAAAGGTGATGTCCTTCCTATTGGGACTGGCATCAGCAAAACACCAGCACATTCACACCCTGACTACTGCATTTGGGTTTGGGCCCCTTGCTCCAAGGAGACCTTCTGGCTCTCAACAACCCCCTGACAGGAGGCTGGAGCCAGGTTGGGGTCGGAATCTTCTCCCATGCAACAAGTGGCAGGGGGAGAGGGAACAGCCTCAGGCTGTGGCCAGGGGGGGTTTCAGGCTGTGCCAGGGGAGGTTTAAGCTGCCCCTGAGGAACAATTCCTTCCTCGCCAGGGTTGCCCAGGGCTGTGCCAGGCTGCCCAGGGCAGTGGTGGAGTCCCCACCCCTGGAGGGGTTTCCAAGCCGTGGAGATGTGGTGTGAGGGACACGGGGCAGTGGGGACCTGGCAGTGCTGGGGGAAGGGTTGGACTGAATGATCTTAAAGGTTTCTTCCAACAAAAAAAAAGTATGAGTCTCTGATTTATTCCCTACTTTTCATGGAGAAGAAGCCAGTGGCTCTCTGGGGCCACCCCAGGCAGAGGTGCCTGCTCCAGCAGAGCTGCCAGGCAGAGGCAGAGCTTACCCACCACGTCGTCACCCTGCGGGCTGTCTGCGCTCGGTCCCTCCTCTCTGCTGCCCAGAGGGGACTCTCCCCTCTCTGCTGGAGATGGGCTGGACTGGCAGGAAACAAACAGGTATTAGACTACCCCATAATGCACCTAAAAAGCATCAGCAGCACATCAGGTGCTTCCTTTCTTTCACAGGATCATAGGATGGTTTGGGTTGGAAGGGACCTTTAAGATCACCTAGTTCCAATCCCCTGCCACGGAGCTTTTCACCACCTTGAATGGAGCTTTTCATCTTTCCTCAGCTCCAGTGGGTTGTCTGGGGTGAAACATTTACAGTGTGGAACTCACTGGGACCAACACCCAACACTGAGCACAGTCAGACACCTCCAGGTACAATGATGAATTCTGAGGCAATGTCTTGAAGAACACCAAGATCACAGCCATGAAGGGATGACAACTAAAAACTGGTGTCTCAGGAGGACTTGTAAGAAAACATGCAGAGAGATTTTCAGGCTTTAGAACTATTGCCTTTAAAATCCATCCCAACAGGCTGGGAAGCATCTCTTGAGGAAGGAGGGACCAAAGAAAGCACCAACCCCCCAAGTGTGACAACAGGAAAGAGTAACATGAAAATACTCTGAGCAAAGAAGAAGAAATAGGAATTACTGTTTACTTCTGGATCTTGGTTGTCTTCTGACCCAATGCTGCAGTTGGCACCTGCTAATGTACTGAGCAGCCCAAAGCCCTGGGTCCTGTCTGGAAACAAACCAGCTGTTAGTCTGACAGAACACACAGTATCATCACAAACAGTTGTACCTGACTGGGTGGGATGGAAAATGTTTCAGGGGATCACAGAGTCATTAAGTTTGGAAAGGTCTCCAAGATCATCAAATCCAACCATCAACCCAGCACTTCCATGATCACTAAGCCATGTCCTGAAGTGCCACATCTACATGGTTTTTTGAGCCCCTCCAGGGCTGGGGACTCCAGCACCTCCCTGGGCAGCCTGGGCCAAGGCCTCAACACTCTGCAAGGAGAGAAATTCTGCCTAATATCCAACTGAAACCTCCCCTGGTGCAACTTCAGCCCATTACCTCTCATCCTGTCACTAGTTACTTTGGAGAAGAGACCAACCCCCACCTCACTGCAACCTCCTGTCAGTTGTAGAGAGCCAGAAGATCTCTCCTGAGCCTCATCTTCTCCAGACTAAACAACCCCAAGTCTCTCAGCTGCTCCTCACAAGCCATGTTCCCCAGATGCCTCACCAGCTTTGTTGCCCTTCTCTGGACCTGCTCCAGGCCCTCAAGGTCTTTCTTCTACTGTGGCACCCCAATATTCAAGCTGTGGCCTCCCCAGTGCCCAGTCCAGGGGCACAATCACTCCCCTGCTCCTGCTGGACACAGTTTCTGATCCAGGCCAGGATGCTGGTGGCTTTCTTGGCCACCGGGGCACATGCTGGCTCATGGATGACACACAGCAGCCTGTAAGCACTTAAAAATATGTTTTAAGCAGAAATTTTTCATATTCTCTAAACTACTTTTAAACCATATTAGCAAAGGCAGCTTTTAAATCTCTAATTCATAAGCCATGGAAGGACCCAGCCAACAAATCCACTGTTTGTCCAGGTTGGGCTTTCCACATCTGCTCACCTACTGTGTGTTTCAACAGGATTTTAGAATCCAGCTTGAAAAACCAAACTGAATTCAAGCCTAAAACTCACCAGTGACTGAAGAGAACAGATGCAGCCCAGCATTTTTAAATGAAACTAACTCTAGTCTTAAAACTTTTATCTTTTAAATATAAATATGTGGCTAGGAGGGGATGTTATGAGGTCTGTATTTCTAAGCTGTGTCTGCAGCTGGCCTTGCATTGAGTAGTAAATAGTTTTAGTTACACAAGGGACTCAGGAGAATTTTCTGAAAATATGAGCATTTTAGTCAACTATAAAAGAAATAACCTTAAGTTATTGTACTACAAATAGCCAGGAAAGAATCCAGTTGTGCCAGAAGAAAGATTAAGATGATTTTTTTTTTTAACAAAATGTGTTTTAAATTAATCTTGCCCTAATGACTAAGCTCTAGACTCAGATGTTGAGCTGATGTCATTTTTCTGCATTGGCCAAATTTACTTGCCTTTTATACAAAATTTCATGCTGAGAAGCTGAATGTGGCACTCAACCCTTCAGCTATCTAGAACTCATGTAAACACATCTCCATTCCTAAAACCTCATTTCCTGGTTAATAATCTCCACTGTGTCCTTGGGCTCATGTGGGTCCTGTCCCTGTCCTCTGTCCCCTCCTGCTCCCCCAGCAGGTATTTTTCACTGGCTCTGCTCTATACAGTTTTCCTGCCTCAGCAGGTCACTCACCACAGGTTTGGGAAGAAATGAATTGGGGTAACTGAGTGAATTGCCTTAAAAATGTTCATCTGCAAGACACGAAAGCCCGTGGAGTCCTCCAGCTCAATTAACAGGCAGCCAAGTGATAAGACTGGGACTCAGACCCCAAACCAAAGTAGCCTCCCCAGGTTTCAGCAGGCTGAGTGAAGAGCTGTCTTTGGAGAGACTGTAAAGCTGGACATTTAGCCAATTTCTGAGTCATCTGAAGCTAGACTGGATGCTGCAGTCCAGAATGTACTTGTGAGAGAACATTCCCACACTGGCACAGGGGTGGATGGAGTGACCTCATCACCTACCTCGTTTCTATCTTTTTTTTTAGAGTTCATCCTGCACAGAAAAATGACAGTGGCTCCATCCCCACCACTACCACGTGCACACAGCCTCAGCTGGCACCAGGAGAAAATGTCCCAGGGAGGAAGAACTGGACTCTACAGCAGGGACCTCTGAAGAGCAGCTGTTTGTTTCTGGATCTGTGGCTAGGGAGGTGGCAGATGTAACACTTGGTTGCAGGCACACCCTTGAAAAAGCCTCCCTATAAACTCTTTTTACTGGATGTAAAAATTATTTCAACTCCTGGGTGCAGTTCAGGAAGTGGGTGATGCCTTACGAAGTGTTCTTACAGACTGAAGCCAAAAATTATCTCACTTGACTTATTGTCATAGTTGGTGGCTCTGTTAGGATGGAGCCCATGGGGCTGCACAGGTAACACATGGATTCTGCAGAGCTCTGGGCTCTGAACATGCCTTTGAGAGTCACTTGTTCCTCCACAGTCTGTCTCCAGCTGACATGTGGTGACCCTGACTTCCACACAAAATCAGAACTGAAAAGTCAAAAGTCATAATTTGTTGAAATAACTAAATTTAAATAGTTCCCCCTAAATAAGGTTAATTCTTTGTGAAGAGAACCTGGTGAGACTCCACCTGCAGTACCCTGCAGTGCTGGGGCAGCTCTGGAGTCCTCAGCACAGCAGAGCCAGGGACCTGCTGGAGCGGGGCCAGAGGAGCCCCAGCAATGCCCCGAGGGGGGAACCCCTCTGCTGGGAGCCCAGCAGGAGAGAGTTGGGCTGGGGCAGCCACAGAGGAGAAGGCTCCAGCTGGGGAGACCTGCTGGGGGCTGCCAGGGGCTTAAAGCAGGTCGAGAACAAAGCTGGGGACAGATGTTTTAGCAGGGTCTGTTGAGACAGGACAAGGGGTAATTGTTTTAAACTAAAAAAGGGAAATTCAGGTGAGAGAGAAGGAAGAAATAAACTGACACTGAGGGTGGTGAGCCCCTGTCCCAGGCTGCCCAGAGAGGTGGTCACTGCCCCATCCCTGGAACCATCCCAGGTGAGGTTGGACCAAGCTCTGAGCACCCTGCTCTAGCTGCAGATGTCCCTGCTCCCTGCAGGGGGGTGGGACTGGGTGACCTTCTCGACCAATTGTGATTCCAATAACTGGCCACACCTGAGGTAACCAGCTTCAGGTGGGATCACTGAAGCACCTATTTAAGCAGGGAAGTAGGCAAGAAGCCTCTTTCAGAGGGCAATAAATTGTCTCTCCTCAGTACTTCAGTCAATGAGCTCAGCTCTCGAAGGGACAGTGTGTGCACTGCCTGTGTGTAGGGAGATGTCAGCTGAAGAGCTACTTGTGCTCCTCACACAGAAAGAGCCACATGTGCTCTTCACAACCACTTGATTCTCAGATTGCAGAGAGCTCTGAGGCCTGGAGAACCAACAACTTCAAACCAACTAGAAGAGGGAATTGTCCTCTGGAGACTCTCAGGTAAGACTGCTTCTTTTTCTGTTAGTAGAGGCAATAATGCTTTATTTACTCACAAAGCATGTGGTGCTACCTGTAAAAATGTTTGCAGTTCAGCTACATTATAGTTAATGCCTATTTTTATGAATTGCTGTGAGAGTGAATGCATTTAATGGCTAGATAAAAATCAAAAGGCCAAGAATTTTCTTAATAAGTGTGTGAAAAAATTACTTTACTACTTAAGAAGAATTGTGTTTGGGTTTAAGATAAAACACCTTAAAAATAATATGGGTTTAATGCCTGTATTTGAAAAAAAAGTTGTTCCTGTTCTGCCTGTAAACTTAAGGTGAGATTGTAACAATGACCTTTAGGATAGTAACAGTACTATAAGTATTTACTACTACACAAATATCTTATAGTCCATAAAATGTCTTTACATGAGGATGACTGCATGGTTTCTAAATGGCCAGTAGCTACAGGGAATTCCACAGAAAAGCTAAATTTTCATTTATATGGTGGCCAGTTTCCAGGCTCAGGAGGAAGCTGAAAACAAAAGATACATTACAGGTTGTAAAAAGGTTTATTTTAAGTGAAATGAGCTCAACAGTTTCCCTTTGAAGGCACAGTCAGGCTGCAACAGCTTCCAAATATAGCTCACTTCCTGAGGGGTTTGCAGTAGCATGCATCAATGCTGTGTGGTTTCTGCATGGTGGAGACAGAAAATCTGGATCTTCAAGGAGCCTGACCTTTACAGAACACACCAGTGATGCAGAGGAATTTCCCCCCACCAAGAACTGAACACACAACTACATTCTGTTCTTTTGTAATGTGGCATTTGTCAAATGCAGGAAATACCTCGTGGAGAAATCCATTTTAGCACTAGTGAGATAACTTCACACCATCTCAGTGGCTACTTATTTCTCTACAAGTGTTCCATGAAGCTAAGACACCCCTTAACATCAGTCTGATGTAGCATGAGAAACACTCAAAAGGCCATGTTAAAAAAAAAACTAAAAATATTACCAGTTTAGTAGCTCTCCTAGTTCTCCTGAGTCCCAGTAACCATCTTGCAGCTGCAGGACCTAGCAGAAGCCTCAGCCCTTGAAATCCTTCCACAGCTACAAGACAGTGGAGAACTGTAGGCCAGGGAGCAGACAGACATTGGAAGGTTGCTAGGAGGAGGAGACTTTGTGAAACAAGACACATAAGGCCAAGCACTCCACAGCAGTTTAATCTTCATGTTTCTCACATCAGCTTGTGATATTAGAAGGGTAATTAAAGGTTTTCAAGTAAATGGAAGCATCTACACTTGCAATAACTCTGGGCTAGCCACAGCATTTCCTTTTCTAATGAATCGAACCCTAAAGTCATTTTTCCAAAATTATAACTACCTGATACTCAGCTAGCTGCAGGGAAGGATCTGGAGTTGCCTGGTTTTTGCAGTGCTTTCCCAAAATTCTGTGGTTCATGGACTGAAGTGGGGGTTTCTGTAGGAAAGCCAGTCCTTGCAATGCACTTAGCATGTCCCTCAACAGACAGCTGAAATCACTTCTTTGCCAAACCTCATCTCTGCAATTGCTAGTCTCATCCATGTTTCTTTTTTTATTTTTTTCCAAAAACTGTAACAAATCTGGAATTTAACACTTATTCTATGCTATAACCACAGATCAGTCTTTAGACCAAGCTGGCAATGACTATTTGCTGCTTAAGTTTGGTGGAAGGAGCTTGCATTTTTCATTGAAACTTGAAGAATTAGTGGAATATTTGACAGTTATTGGTAGAGAGGAAGTTAAAGTACAGAGGGAACAGGAGCAGATGCTCTAACAGGAATAAGTCTCACTGTTGCCTCAGTTTCTCTGTGCATCAAGGGACAATGAAAGCAATACCTGGCATCCTACTGAGGGTGAGGAGTGGTCTAGTCCTCTGTGTACTGATGCAGTAGCACTGCAGCTGCTCAGCTCAAACCTCTGCTAAAAGCACTAAGCCCTCCAGGCCTTTCCTTCTGCAGAGTTCATGCAAGGGGAAGGTGCTACATACCACTCTTCATGACCACGTTGGACCACACGTTGGCGTTCAAGGCTTGTACGATTCGCTTCACTCCAGTGGACTCTGGAAAGTCGTCTGAATGAGAAGACAAAGACACCACACTCCTAACAATTAGACCCAAACACTGTCTGAATGCCAATCCTACCTGGCACTGATGGACAGAAATCTTTTATTTTGTTTGGAAAAAGATTTCTTGCCCTTGCTTGATAAGAGGGCAAACAAATCTCAATTACTGCCTCACTTGTGGTCTTGGCTTCAGGCATTATGACATGTGAGCTCTCAGCCTTCTGCAGAGACATCTAAATTCTGAGTGGGGCTTTGCTCCATATTTAGCAGGAGGCCCATGTTGTTAAAAAACATCCCAGTAAACTTAAAGCTATAGACAAGTTTTAAGTTGCTGTTAAAAGCAAGGCATCTTTCACCCCAAGATCTTTTAGGATGCTGTATGGCAGAAAAATAGATGCTAGAATTACTTTTCCTTCCCTTAGAGAGTAAAGAACTTCAGACAACCATTGTATAAAGGTGTGACACCTAAAATGGAAATGGTCATTGCAAAGCTATTGCCACAGCACCCAACTCCAAATGTTCCCAGTAATCCTGTGAATTACAGTAACTTGAAAGGCTATGGAAAGCATTATTTGTACTTCAACTTATTTACTGAGTAGCTCTGACACCACTTTGTCTGAAGTCAGTTTTCCCATTTCCTCAGTTTAGTCAGCTTCCCATGTTTGTGCAGGTCTCACAAAGCAACAGGGGGGGAAAAAACACTTTGGATAAAAAAAATGGGATTGCTTAAAAATCAGGCTCTTTGAGGATGACTCAGGGACAGGTGCAGTAATTGAAACTGCCTTTAAAAATTAATTTAAAGCTGTCTGTGACCCCTTAGATCAAATATTTTAGATCAAATATCAGAGTTATGATAATCTCAGTTTAGAGTTCCTGTCCTTCCTGCACAAACAAGTGACTGACAACACTGTCACAGCAAAGGCTCCAGTTCATCTGTGATGAGCTGCCACAAATTTCATCTTTTTAAACAGGTATTGGCCCAGTGTGTTTACTGCAGCCATTTTATCTTTGGCAAATAATTCATACAGCATGTTTATGGGGTTAAATATGTTATTCACTGGAATAAATTTCCACCTATGCATGAGTTACAGGGAATCAACTACTATAGTAAAAATCCAGGAAAGAATGTATACCTTAGCATCCTGTGTTATTTCTATTATTTAAATAGTAAATAGTTTCTTTACAACAAATATTAAAAAAAAAAAAAAAAAGAAACAGGACTTAATGTTACCAGTACTTCCCTTTAAAGCACTTAACAAAAAAAACTTCAGTCAAAAGGGTACTAACTTTCAATTTTTCTGCTTTCTATACAGCAGAAATAAGTGTATCCCTTCCTGACTAACAAAGTGCCAAAATGAAATGCACCTTTAAAGACATTTCTAGGACTTTAAAGGGGATGGAGGGGGAGGAACTTGAGTTCTAGCTTAGAAGACCTTTAGACTAAATGATTTTTTTGGTGAACCTGAAAGAGAGCAAATGTCAGTGACTAATTCCACTTAAGCCTGGAAGTGGAGTCACTTATCTCATTTTGGGTCTATAGGGGTAAGATGTAAACACTTTTTTTTATTGTATCTCTGAAATGAAGAGATAAGGCTGGTGCTGATAAGGCTGTCAGGAAGTGCACAGTCACTTTTCAAGAGTGGAACATCACACATCACACTTTTGACTTTGCGTGATGGTTTTTTCAAGTTATAAACACATGGTCAACCAGTGATTTTGAAACTGGTTTGTTTCCTGTGTAACACTGCATGCCACTCTAAAATGTTTTTAACAATCTCCCCTTCTCAGCTTATCACATCACTGTTGTATATATCAAAATAGATGTTATTCAAATAGTTTTAAGAGGTTTTTTTATAAAAAGATGAAGAATTTTCCTGCCCTTGTACATCTCTCTGGTTTGTGTTTCAGATTTGTTTCCAAAGTGGAATATAAAGACTTCTAATCTGTTAATAACATCCTAGGATTAGTGACAAAAAAAGCAGCAGATATTGTTTTTATGTAGGTGCTACATAAACAGCAGCTGTATTTGGGAGGAGACAAATGGAATTCTTGGAGGAAATAAACTTCTGCTCCTGACCTTTTATAGCTGAGACTAAGCCTCACCAACTGGGAGCATTCCAAGCCATAATCATGCAAGGGGCATAACTTTGTGCTACAGTTGCTTAGAAGATATTTCAGTGGTGCTTTTTCATTCTAAAAATTAAACCACAAGTAGAAGGCTTACCATCTTCATCAGGCAGTTCCTCAGGGTTAAGTTCTACCAGTTCAAAGCCATGCTTGATGCACCATTCTTGAGCTTTCTGTCTGTTAAGTCAGGAAATAAGAGTACTAAATTTCAGACTAATATCAGCAGTTGAATCTTTAGTTATGTTTTACTCCTTCAAAGTTGTTTGCTTATTCTGGATTGTATATAGTAGCTGGTGTGGGTCCTACATTGAATTTGATTCCAAAAAGTGCAGGGTTAAACAAACTTTTCCTTCGAATTGACTGGGGTGTTTGGGGGATTTTTGGGGTGGGTTTTCTTCTTTGTCAATACCATAAAATAAACAGCTTTGCATTGGGTACTTAAAGGGAAACGTAAGTGAAGTGTCACAGTGAATTAAAACTCCTCAACTCTAGATTTGAGTCTGAATTAAGCTACAAGGACATATCTGCACCTTACAGCTTGCTGCTGTGTTGCATATGCAGATCCAGAATCAAAGCAACCATAGGTATTTAATGTGTCTAAATGGTCAGAAGGGATAAACATATTTTCCCACTGTAGTTAAGCACCCAACAATCATCCTTACCCCTCAGCAGGGGCCCTGGCACATCCAGTGATGTGGATGCCTTGTTAGTCACCTTGTGGTGCATGCTGACATACTGGGAATGGGACACACAGAGCATGTTTTAAACAAGCTGTAAAAAAGGTTCAGTTTTAACCACAACTAGCACAAGACTTCTGTTTCTGGTCATGAGGGTAACCTGACTCTTCTCAATTAAGTCTCAAGCCCAGTCCCACACAGGCATTTTTTAAGAAACAACTGTGTTGATTTAACTAGAAAATAAAATACTATGCAAGGTTAATAACTGCAAGTCAGTTTGGAACTTCTTTGGGTTTCGTACCATTTTCAGATACTCTGTTACAAACCAGGATCATGACTTCTGGTAACCACTCTTCTGTCAGAGGAAGCCATTCAGAGACACTCTCCAGTCCAGATTTCTAAAAGGGAAGGGAAAAAACTTAATACATCCTCATAAATACTTGTTTTTAAGTGAGTTTTAAGTCATTAACAGTATTAAAATAACACAAAGTAAGGAAATATGCTAAGCTGTGTATCAAGTGTTCACCATCTGTGGTGAAAACCAGTTCCTTATTTAGCATATTTACTTTTTGGTCTCAGAATCTTCCTGGCTTTTGCTAAAGCACTGTTTTCACTGCTGCCTGCTTAGTAGAAACAATTTTGGGTAAAATGATAGCACTGAATCTTAGTTTAGCTCCTGCATTCTTGGCTCTCCTAAACAGCCTTTCTGAACTAGCACCAGCTAGGAATAAAGTTGGAGGTGGTGGGCTGGGGGAGGATTTGCCTAAGTTACAGCTGTATCTGCATCCTGAAACCTCTCTTTCAGATGGAGTATAATAGTAAAAGGGAAGGAAACTGCTTCCATTGTTAGCAGGCATAATTCAACACTGATCTACTGATAATTAATAGAACAGCCTAAAAGGAATGGATGGCACAAGATGAGGAGAGTAGAATTTGTGGTTATCACTGTGATAAGGCAACTACCTTAAAGCAATAAATAAAGCAATATAATGAAGCAGAAGAGTCTTACTATTGTGCTGTCAAAGTACACCACAAATGCTTGCACAGCTTCAGCAATCTCTCCAGTAACATGAAATGTGTTTGGCACTACACAGAGGTGAATGTCTGCAGAGTAATATTTATTATCTATTGTCCAGGGGTAAAAATTCACTCTTCCACTGGTAGTTGCACCCACGGTAAGGTCATCTCTTCCTGTGATACCTGTGTGAAAGAAAATGAGACAGATGATAAAACCAACACCAAGAAAATAATTTTTCTGGAGAGGCTTGGTACAGTGCCAACACAGATCTTTAAAAATTCAAACTCCATTTGTTACTCTGTTCCAGAGCTTACTGAGCTTTCAAAGATCATTTTTTCAAAAGATTATTTTCTAGCTTTCAGAATAAAATGTGGTACAGAAGCTCTTCAGAGAGCAAACCTTTTTTTCCTGGCAATGCCTTTTAAAGTGTTAGCCTCAACCTCACCATCTGTAAACAGGATGTATGGAGAACACCTAAACTTCATTACAGCAGAAACAAACCTTGCAGGTTCATTCAGATGGAAAGAACTGCTTGACTGTGACCAAAACCTCAGATAACTAATGAGAAAACAAACCAAGTTACTACAATTGGGTTGTAATTCCCATTAAATTCCATGTAGGAGTTCAACGATTAAAACCCAAGGCTGGAGTGCTTTGATGATGTGATATTAAACAGGGCTCTTGGTGTGCTGGGCACTCTCTCAGGGTGTGACAGCCACCTGGTGGAGCTGAGAGATGGAGAGGAGCAGAGCAGCCACCTACACCTTGCTGGAAGGGGCAGAGTATCCTGCTCTGAGTGTCCTGCTCCCTTCCAACCCCCACTGTGCTGGGATTCTGTGACTAAATTTAACACGTGCTAATTGTTACTAGACTGGGAGTTCCTTTTCAAGAGATATTAGGGTCCATGGAGCTCTGCTTTGATAGAATGTGACAAAACTCCAGCAACTGGGAAACAGGTTGGGCAGACAGGGTCACAGAGGAAAAGCACAGGGAGGTTTTTTCTTGCCAGAATGATCTGTTGTCTGGATTTTAAAAAGTAGGCATGGCCTTAATTTTGTGCCCTGGAAACCAGACTTTGTTTGGAGGGTTTGAATGCTACATAAAATACACTATATAAATTTCCCTTCACTGGTGTTCTAACAGTTCAAAGTAAATAATTAAAAATTCAGTTTTTAGCTACCAGAATTGCACATCAGCAACCCAGGAAGCTAAGAATAAAGGAGCCCATCAGAATTGCTGAAATGCAGAAAATAAGACTTAGAAAGCCAAAGGGAGGAAAAACAGGGTGAGGGGAAAGGCAGTTGGTTCTAAAGTGACTTCAGTGAAGTCAGCTACCCTAGCAAGAACACAAAAGGGAAGAACTTCTTCTAAAAGGTTTTCAAAAGCTGATAGGAAAACTTTCATGTCTGCTCTGAAAGTGATTTTGTTGGGTTTTTTTTTTTTCTTACAAAAAGGTTCATGGACAAATTTAGGTCTCAAGATACTGTTAGAAGAATGAGGACATGCCCCATTTCCTATTAAATGCTACTTGCTCCTGTATTTTAAGCAGTCTTCTTTCATCCCATTGTTCTTCTGATTACCCATCATTCATCCAAAGAGCCTTTGCCAATCCCCTGTGAAATTTCTCCCCCAGTAAAAATGGACTTTGCACACTAAACTCAACGGCAGGAACCTTCTGAAAGGATTCTGCCTTGCTTCAGACAAACTCCTGCAAACCAGCCTTGATTACTCCTGGCAGGAAACTAAATGCAGTATGGGTTTTTTGTGAATTGTTCTCTTGTCTTCCACAAGTGTCACTTAAGCCAATTAGGTTTTGGTCTCCCAAGTAAACAAGCAGAGACTACAAAAGAAATAGAGGCTGCAACTTAAACGGAGTGGTCAAGGATATATCCCACGTTGGAACTAGTTCTAAAGATTGCATTTGCTACTGCTGGATTCCAGACATTTTTCTAAGACAGCCTGTATTTGAATGAAAAAAGGAAACATGGCCAGAATAGTTTCATATCTGCTTGAGAGAACATTCATCAGAGTGAACCCCATTAAGTTTTATTTGGACACAGAATAAACTTTTAGAAAATGAACACAGCAAAAGGGGGTGGCTTGTCAGGCTTATCTCTTGGGAGTTACTCATTTTTAATTTGAAGCTCCCCAGCCGTTGAAAGTGTTGGTGGTTTGCCATCCCAAGAGCCTGGAAAACCAACTGAGTCACTCTCTGACCACAACAGGAGGCAGACCTACCAGGCTGACTTCATCAGCTTGCCTCCTCGTGGAGCAGCAGTGGCTTGCTTGGAGGACAGGAATGCAAACAGCCTCCAAATGCAGCACCGTTAAAGAGCAGTGAAAACACCCATGGAAAAGCTCATGCCACAAAAAAACGTTGGGTGGTGTCACTCAAAAATATGATTTAGGGTTCAAGGTCCTCTAAAAAATAGTGTATCTGTTATAGGATATGGGGCAATGGTTTCAAACTAGAGCAGGGTGGACTTAGACTGCACATCAGGAAGAAGGTCTTTACTATGAGGGTGGGGAAATGCTGGAACAGGCTGCACAGAGAGGTGGTGGAGGCCCCAACCCTGGAGACATTCAAGGTCAGACTTGATGGGGCTCTGAGCACCCTGCTCTAGTTGCAGAAGTTCCTGCTCCTTGCAGGGAGGTTGGACTGGATGACCTTGAAGGGTCCCTTCCAAGCCAAAGCATTCCATGATTCTACTAATGCTTATTTTGCTGCTATGACTTCTACGGTCTTACCAGTAACTGCTGAATTAAGGCAGAATGTATTTGTGTCCCACACTTACACATAAAAGCACTTTATGGAAGCTTCTTCATCTACAGTGAATTACTTGAGGCCAGAGATCAAACAGACCATTTCAAAGTGATCTCCAGTGGGTGTGTGCAGGAGGTGATGGCTCCACCCAAAGCCCCTGCACTGACACCCACCTAGGCCAGGATCACCACATTTGTTGGACAGGGACAATTATCTTCCTCCAGTGTACCCCAGTTCATGACTCACTTTGCCTGTTTTCTACCTGAAGACCACTTAAGAACATGACAGCAACTGACACATGAGATGAGTTGGTGGCTCAAACCAGTCACTGATAATGACTGGTATCATTCAGCTCAGCGAGCTTCCAAACTTCTGTGGAATCTGTCCAGGGGAAAAGGGTTTTTCACTTCCAGGCAGTCAGCAGCTTGTGTTTTCCAGCAAACCCATTAGTTTTCTCCTTTCTTTACTCTCAAGAATTTCTAATAAATAGGGCAAGATTCTGACCAATCCTTCTGGAAATTATTTTAGCTGTTTACATCAATGTTTGCTCATTTTACTGATTTAAACGTGTTGATTTTTAATTTCCTGAGCTTGAACACAGACAAGGTAAATTAAACAATGGTTGAGAAGACAAGGAAGAGGACGTTGCAAAATTGTAAAACCCAAAATCCAGTTCCTTTGTGTAACACAAGAGGCTTAGGAAGAATAGTGTAAGTGCAAGGCAGCAAATACTGTTTCAAAAGCAGAACTGGAGACCAGAAGTAACTTTTCTGAAAAGAGTTGAATAATAACCAAAGAAGCAGATGCAGATCTCCTGCCACTTGCAGCAACATTCCCTCTTCTCTAATGCCCAGCTGACATTTAACCACTTCTACTATATTGTGTTTAAGAGTAGTATTTTTTCAGAATCATTGCAGCTCTTTGCAGGTTGGGGGTGGTTTTGTTTTTTTTTTTCCAATGGGATTAAAGTACTGATCCCTCTTCCTGGTGTTTTTCAGATTGAATACATGCTATAAGAACATAATTCAGTTTTCTACTGTACCCTAAATGATCCCAAGTCCTCTTAGTTAGTAGGTACACCAAGTAGTTCTCACATTCTGGGCCTTGAGAGCCACCTGGTGGAATACACCATAAAAAATACTCCTGCAAATTACACAAGGAGTAAACTCAGGAATTTTGTTAGGAGGGTGGAGGGGAGTGGTAAACAGTCAAAAAGGACTAAAATAAATTACATCAGTCAATATTTAACTGTTGGCCAGCATTTTTAAAAAACAAATCATCTTTTCTGTTTTAATTTGGGATAAATGTATCTAAGAGAAGAGTCAATCCTCTTTTGTGCCTTCTGAATAGCTTTATGACAGTACCTAGTGAAATAAGGCATTTGAGGTATCCCACAGAAACTTGAAATAATAAAAATATAGGTAGCATAATCTCCTCATCCTTAAGCTGTTTCCTGCTTCATAGGATGAAAACACTGGGAAAAGCCTTGTAATTAGCCTGGAAAGTTCTGGTAGGCAGCAGGAGAAAAATGTATCTCATATACCTAGCAGGGAACACTCTAAGTGGCTCCAAAAGTCACAAAGAGAATGTCCCATGGAAATCCAGCAACACAGCAGCAACAGCACCAAGGGCTTTGGGTCGTGTGTGTAACAGACTCAGAACCCAACTGCTCTCTGGCTCCACCAGCCAACACAGTGTTCAAGAGCATATCTAACCATACACTTTGTATCTCAGCACCTCTGAGGCAGGACAGTGTTTAATACAATGTTCTGGTTCTCAGCATTGAGCTGAACTGTTATCTTGAAATCATTTGGGTTGGAAGAGACCTTTTAAGATCTTTTGAGTCCAACCCTTCCCCAGCACTGCCAGGTCCCCACTGCCCCATGTCCCTCACACCACATCTCCATGGCTTGGAAACCCCTCCAGGGGTGGGGACTCCACCACTGCCCTGGGGAACTGAGGCAGGAAAGAAATTGTTCCTCAGGTCCAACCTAAACCTGAGAATTGCACCAGCTTTTTGTTTCAACTCCCCAAACCCTTTCAGTCCAGCCTCCCACAGGCAGGCAGGGCTGCCTCATCCCTGGCAGTATGGCTCTGAATGTTTTACACGTTCTGCTCCTGGATCTGATGTAATTTCACTTGTTACCCAAAACAGGAACTTGAAATTCTCGTGGTATTTATTTTAGTAAATGATCATATTTCTTTCAGGAAGATTTTAAGGAGCAACCCAGATGACACAATGACTATCCAGGAAAACAGTGGAAGCCCAGACATTACAAAGTGAGTACTATTTAAAGAAAAATAATTCTGAAGTTAATTTTTAAGACTTGCTCTGATTAAATAGCATTTCTATGAAGCCTTTTGCTCACCTTCATTTTTTTTACTTGTCTAATTTTGCTATGGAAAAGTAATCCAAGG